GCTGTTTGCACACATTCCTGAAATAAATGTTGTCTTAGAATTAAAAGTAATCCTTATGGAATATGTTTACCTTGAACAAAATTGAGTAATAATATCGATGTGAATTTTTTTTTTGTAGAATATTTATGATGCTATTATTAATTAAAAAAAATATATATTTTTTGTTCATCCATGGAAATTTGAATAAAAATGTATTCTGAGGTGCTGGGAGGGCTGTCTTCCGTCATCTATTAAATTGTGTGTTTTAAAAAAAACTCCCACCATCTGTTTCTATATAAAACTACTCATTTCTGGTTTCTTTCAAGTGAGTTTGAACTTGCAGGTAATGGATTACACTTGTTGCTGTACCTTTATCTTGTTCTCAAATTCTGTCCCACCTAGTAACAAATTTGTCGTCTGATTCTGTCAAGTGTTGATGTGAGTGATAATGAAAGTAAGGAATGATTAAATATTAGATTATATATTGTTGAACTTTGGTATTCTGTATTGCGTACATATCCTAGTTAACGGTCAAAATTTCTTGTAATCGACTTTGGACTGCTAGAAATGTGAAGAAAAGACCCGATAAATATGATCCACACCAAAGCAGTCAGGTGGAATATACAGTAAACAACTTAATTTTTACTGCTAGAAGTTTTTGTGATTTGATGATTTTATGGCATTCGTAACAATATTTGCAAAAGTCCTGGACGATCATGAACTACTTTTTATTATTCGAAAAAAAAAACATGTTTTGCTTGTAGTCTGCTGATATATTAAGTTAAATCACAGTACAAGCTTTTGATTTACCCAGTAGTACATGTCATTACGTAAAAGACAGGCATTTATTTGGTCAAAATAATGATATTTTAATGATCTAGCATACTTGGAAAATGTGCAATGTGTTTCTGATAGAGTAAATGCTGTAGTCGTAATGTGGAGGCTGATGGTGTAGTTAATTTTCCAGAAAGCTGAAAATCAACTGTGGTAGTACATCACCTGATGGTGTTTTTATTTTCAATTTATTTCGGCTACCCGTAGAGACTGCCAGCAGGTGATGCGATAATATTAAACAAAAACCTTTTGACGCTTTATAACAAGATGACAATAGTATTTACATTTCAACTGTCATTTGTCTCAATTTCTTTAAAATAAATCTATTGACCTCACAGTGAAGTTTACATTATTTTGATTTTAAAAATTCATATTAAGAGAGAGATTGAATTACATTCAATCACTTAGGCAGGCTGACTAATATTATAGCTATATCAATATCCTGATGAAATTTGACAGATGAGAACGATCCTAACAGCAATGAGTAATAAAATTGGTAACACTGTCACTGTATATCTCTGACTTTCCATGTAATTGGTCTTAATTTGAGATGGTGATATTTTAATGGGTTCTTCCAGTATCAGATTTACTTAGAAACTACTCAGTGAAGTGCTCAGTATTGGGTTTTTTCACTCGGCTACTGATTTGCGGTTTCTTGTATTAGAATATCAATTTACATGGTATTACAGAGAGAACAAATATATGATTTAGATGGTCTTGTGAGGAATTATTTTAAAACTATTCTGATTTGTCAAGATCTAGACTAGCCTCAGTGTTAAAAAGTATCAAGCTGTTTCATTTTCAATAATTTGCCGAAACTCTGGACCAAGTCGGCATGTGCCGAAACGTGTGTGAACAGTCGGGAACAAGTCGACATGTGCCGAAAAAAAACTATATGTGCTTGGGGTCGAAAAAATAATTGTTTTTGAATCTTCTTTGCTGTTCCTGTGCACGATGACTCGTAAAAAATACCATAACAGCAATTGGATATAATTGCAATATAGCAATTATTATTATAATATTCGTGTCGATTACCATGTTTTGGTCAAATAACAGATCGAAGAATGAGGGCATGATTTCTGAGTGGGTTTGCAAACGCAACGGAATAATACAAATTTTGGCACGTGCCGAGATCCCATAACGTGTACGTAGCATTTGTATACATGTATTATGTGTTTGTCTAGGGAATAACACCTCCCAGTACACTCAAAATAAAATGGGTGGGAATGTAAGGGCAGGATATCTAATATAAATATATCGCATGTTTTAGGTCTAAAACAGCATCACATGAACACATTTATGTTTTTAGTCTGTTCTTGGATTCAATGTTTTGAATATATGAATGAATGCGCACATTTTATTTTTTTACATTGTTATGGCTGTTATGTTTTACACCTTTGCAAAGTAGGGAAGCAACTTAATTTCTGATGCATATGACTTCGGAAAGTTTTCCTTCCATTGCATCATTGGGAAAGATTTAAATCAAACAATAATCAACCAAACACTTGGAAAGTTTAATTCATGTCGTATTTCCTCTGTTCAGTGTAACAAATATTAGACTGTCATGAAATTTCAAGATCTTTTTCTTTTTGTATTCATCTATTTTCAATTGTTTGTTATTTTTGCTGGCCACCAGCATGTCTAGAAGAGAACAAGTTCCTAATATAAATGATCCCTGAACTGAAACTCAAATAGACCTGTTTCAGAAGGTCAACACTAGATGGCGCAATCACCATTCAAATATGAAAGCTTAAATGCCATGAGGCTTCTCTTCTCCAACTACTAGTATGTATTTACAGGAGAGGGCACTTTTGAAGTATCAGTAAATGAAAATACATAAATATTCTGATATTCAAATATGTCGCAATCAATATTGTATGTTACTATTGTTACAATATTTGCAGTGTGAAACGTTCCTAGGGTCTCAAAATCCAGTGAGGGTGTCAATTGCTGAATAAACTTTTCAATAAATTGTTTTTTTTTGTTTTTTTCAGATATTTATGTTGATGTGAAACCGTATTCTGGTCTAGAAGCAGTTAGCTGTAATTGTATGAAACCAACCAACGGTATTGATAGAGGTTGTGGTGATGACTGTATTAATAAGTAAGTACAAGTTGTGTAAAATACTAGTATGAAACCATGTTATGGAATTCATGAATCATACAGTGTAAAATTTCTAATAATTTTTTTTGTACTAATTGTAGAATGGTATTCACTGAATGCTCACCTAATCTGTGTCCCTGTGGTGACCACTGCTCTAATATGTCAATTCAGAAACACGAATGGATTACAACGTTAGAAAGACTTCCTGTAAGTATTAACAGTTCTCAGCTCAACATCTGAAAAACACTATTGACCAATCATGCCATTTCGATTGGTTGTGTTTAGAAATTTGGAACGAGAAAAACAAAAAAGTGTATTGTAAAGTGCAATTGCGATTCACATCTAGGGCTAGGGGAGCTAGGGCTAGGGGAGCTAGGTTGTGTGTTCGGTCTGTATTGTATGGTTATGCTGCAGGTACTGAATATGGACTGTAGTCTGTTTATATTAATCATTTCTACAATGTGTGTTGGTCAGATAGACTAAGTATTTGTCATCGATGCATTTCAAACTTAACTTTCACTTTCACCAAAATGTGTAAATTACAGTTTTTTATCCTTTGTATTTGTTCTATGAGTAACATATCTTAAATATGAGGACTCTGTTACTTATCTGTTACTTAAGGCACAAAGACAAAATCTCTTTTCCTAGAGCTACTAGCCCAACCGGGGTACCAGAAATTTACAAAATAATGACTCACTGTTTTTACAGTCACCATTTTGTGGGTGTCCTACATAAATTGAGCAATGTTACATTGTTTGTTTGTTTGTTTGTTTGTTTGTGCCCATATTTGTTTGCATTGTTCTATAAAGTGCATATCAAACCAGATGGACTACCCAATATAGTACCTATATAATATTGGACAACCTGCTTTTAAAACTGGTAGCCCAGCAGGCGTCAAAGAAATGTTGTCTGTTTTGAGCACTGAATACGCATTGTGAGAGTACACCAAAATAGATTAATCTCACCGCATCATATGAATCTCATGTCCCATGAAATTTTACAACATTAACATGAGGAAAAATACTGTAAACAGTTTTAATTTGCATGAAACAAATTGCGCGAGTCAGTGAAAATGGTTTTGGGGTTGTATGACACAGTGTCATTGATTTTCACAAAATGTTGTTCTTATCAAATAGCAGAACTGTTTACAGTTGATTGTTTTCATAAAATGTTGCATATTTACAGAGCAATTTGCATAAATTGACTGGATGGATTTATTTTCTCTATTTCTTTTTGCAGACTGAAAACAGAGGATGGGGAATCCGAACAAAAGATGCCATAAAAAGTGGACAGTTCATCTTGGAATATGTCGGGGAGGTGGTCAGTGAGAATGAATTTTGGCAACGTGCCATGAAAAATTATCAGAATCGTCGTCATCATTACTGTTTAAATCTCAATAGTGGAATGGTGATTGATGGATACCGAATGGGATGTGAAGGGCGCTTTGTAAACCACAGTTGTGAACCCAATTGTGAAATGCAGAAATGGTAAGTGTTTCTTCCTATGTAACCCTCCCACCCCTTTTGCTATAATAAATTCGCCCACCATGGAAACCATAGCAACTGTGTTGTATTTTCAGCAGTTGAATTTAAAAAAAAATTTTTTTACCTGATATGATCTCAGTCTGTTGCAATATTGCTGTTTTTTTTTTTTTTAATTTCTAGAAATTGCCTTTATCTTGACTGTAGCATACCTAGATAACCCGAATACATTTTTGTAAACCATTCCTAGCCCATCTATACTGAATTAGTATAATTTTCAGGCGTCATAATCGTGAAGTATGAAGCAGTTGTTTTTTAATGATTGCTTTTCGTGGGTAACATCGGTTTATAATTTCCTGTCGCGAGTTTCCTCTGATTTCTGCACCAGTACACCCACGCCTCAGCCATCACAGTGATATTGTCAAGAATCGCAAATCTGTTATTTGTAGTCGTTTACATCAACTACTTAAAGAATTTTTGCAGATTATTGTGAATGCTGCCTTTTCTTTGGAGTATCTTGAATGCTGTATGTGCCCACACAAATATCGTGAGAATTAGAGTGTAATTGTAACATAAAAAATGGTGTTTATGCTTGGATCATGCAAAGATGAAGGCATGTTACGCTCAGTATGAATTTACCGAGATGTCTGTTCTTAATACCAACCGGAAATACAGCTTTGGATTGGAATTGGAGGGATTTTATTGTAGCATTAAAAATAATAGCCCTTAAAGTTAATTAATTTTAGGTGAGAAACCATTAAATGCTGAATTGTTGAAACTTAAATATCGTCAAAAAGATACCGCCTTAATGAAGTGGATGACTGTTTTTGCTTCATGTCGTGTCATACTATTAAGTGCGTTGCGGTGTTTGATTTGATAATGCTATTTATTGTAAATCCTAGCATATACAACCACCTTAATTTAACCAAAGTCACCTTTAGTCACAAATTCTTAGAATAAACCGACCTGTTTTTTTTCAATTTTTGTTCAACACTTTTGTTTGTAGGCAAGGAAAATACATTTTTAATTATTTACATTTTGTTCAAAATCAACAGAAATATCATATGAAAATATTTAAATATGTGCAAAATTTGGAGTCTTGGCTGAAAAAATGATGGCACACATAGGGTTAATTAATATTCTTGTTCTACTAGTAAGGGTTGAATGGGTTAATGATGAATGACAGAGTCGAATTGACATAGATGTAGTGATCATTAAACTACAGGGAATACCAAGTGACAGGGCTAAGTATCTACTCACAGGCAGATGACACAGGCCAAAATTAATAAGATTTCTTCTACTAAGTGGTGGCCTTTGTCAACCCACACAAAGGGAACTGTCAAACTTCGCCTGAGTCACATTTTCAGGTGCTCCGCAAATGTGACCCACGACTATTGAAATCGCGATACAAAGGGAGAAAAACACACACTGGTAATTTACTATCGCATAACTGTCCTTTGTCAGTAAATTGGCGGACAAAGAAGAAGTTTAAAGGATTATGTTGAAGGGGTTGATCGTAGTTTATTTTCTGCGCATTTCAATGAAACCGCAGTGTAGTGTTTGGGGGTGTTCAAATCAATTGAAAAATCTGAATTGAAAAGGAAAGGGAAATCAATTACACAGATGTGTTTTTTTACCCCACAGATAGTTGTCAGCCATTTTATTTAATCGTTTAACAAACCAAATCTGATATAAGCTAATTGAATGTGACAATAAATAAAGCTAAAATACAGAGAACTGTTTTAAACTTTAAAATCATGTGAATTCCTAATCCATTCAAAGCAATGAATGTTTTAAATTGATGTGTTCATGCAATTCTGTGCTTTGTGGTGAATTTCATTGGTAGCGGTTTTCAGGAAATTTTCTTTCCTGCGGCTGTCCACAAATTATTTGCAGTCCCTTCAGTATAACTGATTTATATTTTGTTGACTACTACTGTGTATAAAGCCGCTTTATTAATATTACAAAATTAAGTGAAAATGACCAAATTTTGTAGCAGTGACATAACCTCTTTCAATCATAATAATCCTTAGCAGTGAAAATTAAAGATTTTACAGTATAGTTGTAAGCTATGCATATTTCCTGGTAAATCCCCAACCCTAATTGGTTGGATTTGTTCAGAATTGTTTTCTATTGCTATCTGTAAATCAGAATGAATCGTTTTTTGTTTGATTTGATGTAATAATGGATAGCCTGTACACCACAGTGCAGTCACACAGCAGTTGTCACATGACTAGTTATTGGGATCATTACTATATTTTACTGGATTTTTGCCTCGAGATATATACGTCCTTGATGAGCTGTTTTTCTTGAAAGTTAAATCTTGGCATCAAATGGTGGTTGGGGGTCAAATAATGGGTAACAGGTACTTTAAGTCTTGCTGTTAACGAAAGTGGATTGTCCAACTTTGAGGGACAACACTGAGGTTGTTTGTTCAGGGGGAAGGGACAGGGAGTTTGAGAAATGAGGCTGCATTTGTAAGCTTGTTGTGAACAAGAATACATCACCATAGTAACAGACTTGAAATCATGTGTCCCACTTTCTGACTTGCTTGAAACAATTATTGAGACTAATTTGTGCTTTTCTCTTCTAATAATAATAATACGTCAAGCGAACATGTATCCTTAAAAATGAGAGGAAATATTAAACTGTAGTTTCATTGTATATAGTTAAATCTTTTGTTTGAGTAGGTTTTCTGTATGCTATACTGTAGAATACTTTATTTTTGCTTGGAATTTATTTTCCTTATTTTCGCTGAAGGGATGAAATCCGTGAAAATAAAAACCAGCGAATATGCTTTTTTTCCCTATATTTCACATTCAACTCATCAAAAATCAGTGAAAATAAATTCCATACAAAATACCCAAAATGCCTTTTCAGCGAAAATTAATTCCAGCTAAAATGAAATATTTCACAGTATGTTATATGCTGCTTGACTGGTCTTTTAATTCTACCAGTAATATATCATACTGTGCCACTGGATCTTTTATTTTATCGATCCTCGCATTTCATTATATTTTGATCTCTGCATTACAGTGTGGATTTTGTGTACCTTCAATTCTGTCTCCTTCCGCTTCATGGCGTTTTTGTTCACTGTTTTGTAACTACGTGTGCTTAGGTGTTATGTTCAAAATTGTGTGAACGGATGGAAGCGATTATTATTACAAAGTATGATATCTTTGTTCGAGAATTGCCAACAGGTGAAATGAAATCTACAAGCTGAAGATACACTCTGTGAATTTCTTGCTTCAAATTACAATTAGAAGATATTGTTCAACAGAAAATGCGTTTTCTGATAGATAACCGAATACAGCTTACTAGAAACGCCACAAGAGATGTACGCTGTCTGATAATGTGATATCGCTTGCAAGGACAAAATGTCACTCAAGTGAAATTTTTACTGCTACAATATTTCCCAATATTTCTGTACATTTGTAATTAGAAATTTTAATTGGACACGACAACTGCAGGAAAATGGCGTTGTTTGATCCGCAGTGCAGTAGCTAGACATTGGGTTTGTATTGTTGATTTAAATACAAAACTGTGCAATAACGATTGAGTCGCGTTGTTTTCCATCATCCACTCTCCTGAAATGAATTAGCTATAAATCATATTCTGTAGACTAGATGTCGCCATGTACTTTACGTGACAATAATACTTATTTTTGGAAAACTACAGACTAATAATATTCTTCTCTCTGCACCATGATATTTAAAAGTTAAGAGCTGAGAATAATATACTTGACCTTTTATTTCATTTTTTTTGTTCGTTGATCAGCAACTTTTAGATGTTGCTTCTCTCAAAGGTTTTTTCTATCGCACGTGTAAAATGAATTTGATTACAAAATAATATGATGTAGGCGGTTTGCAACCATATTGTCTTCTTTGGCCTTTAGGTGTACTCGTGGGAATTTGTATTTTGTCTACACAGCCTGCTCCTTGTCTATTTACAACGACCGAGTACCTGAAGGGGCTTTCAGATTTTGACTTGTGATATAAAAGGGAGGTCTTCTCAATGTTACAGAGAATGGTCTCTATGCCGCCTGCAGCAAATTTCGTCAACACTGAAAAATAAAATCACAAATTTGTGATAACTTTTTTAATATGAAGATAATTTATACAGGAACTTGTGCTGTACACATTACTACAATTTTAGATAATCTTGTAAAAATAATATTTATTTTTATTTTATTAATTACGATAGATTAAATTTAGTCTACTACACAGTACTGTTTTTATATGTTTCTGTAATTGCCTTATTTTACGTCAGTTAAAATGATAATCTTATGGTGACAAAATGAATGCGTTTTATTCATGTTCATGTCCGGGGGTGTTGAGATAAAATGCATTTGTGTGGACCAGTTGCATTCTAGCTATGTGTTAGCACAACTTTCGTGTGGATTGTCTGTTCTACCATATTCTATTAGAAACACATCTAGGTGCATTTATTAAAGCAAACCAACAATACAGTAATAATAATAACAAATTCTTGCACTAAATTTGAAGGTACATATGTATTATTGAACTAAAATGCTGAAAAATTCTTGTGTATTCCCGCTGAAAACTAGTATCATAAATATTGTTTAAATTTAAAAAATATGTATCATATTTAATAAGATTGACTTTCATGCGAGAATGATTGAAACTGGTTTATATGAAGGGGTGCATCTTATAATGGAAATATGGTACTTCAGAAAACTATCTTATATTAAATTGTAATCGGCTACTATTTGCTGATATTACCGCCTGAATATAATATATGTATGAATCATATAGAGATGATGGATGATTCATACATGTATATTTATGACTCAAATGAAGCTTTCACGTCTTTGTCTCTACCATACATTTCATTTCCATTAACTTTGTGAGATGTAACCAATTGAGATGAAATATGTCATTTTCATTTTATAGATTTAGACAGTATTATGCACTTAGATTGAAAAGACAAATATAACATTTTCTCTTGGATTGAAAAGACAAATATAACATTCACTAAGATTAAGATGTAAATGTAACATTTTATTTCATAGATTTTACACCAAATGTCATTATGCACTTTGATTGAATGGACAAAATATAACATTTTTATTAGATTAAGATTAGATGACAAAATCTGTCATTTTCACTGAGATTGAGAGAGTATATTTGAGTGTTACATTTTCATTGGATGATACAAATTGTTCATGATCCATGATATCCCTGTATATATTAAACATGATTAACTAATCCATTGCTGTTTTCTAGATATTATTAGTCCCCATTCGGACAAAGTCCGAAAACGGGGACTTATAATTCGGTCTCCGTCCGTTCGTGCGTCTGTGCGTTCGTCTGCAGTCATATCTCAGAATCCCTTGGGCCGATTCTTTTCATTCTTTGCATGTGCCTAGTACTTTATGTGGGACATATGCACATGCAGTGGTTTAGCGATTCGATTCAAAATGACCGACTGGCAGCCATCTTGTTTTTTGAAAATGTTGAATTTTGGACATGTTTGTCAGTTGTCATTCAAACTTGGTACATAGATTATACATGTTAGGATACATGTCCATGACGAATTATTTCACAATTGGATCAAAGATGGCCGACTGGCAGACATCTTGTTTTTTGAAAATGTTGTATTTTGGACATGCTTTGTCAGTTTTCATTCAAATTTGGTACATAGATCATACATGCAAGGATACATGTCTCTGACCGTTCGTGAGTTCCTGAGTCTGTCCGTACGTCCGTCCGTGTGTCCGTCCGTCTGTCCGTGCGTCAGTCTGTCCAGTGTCATATTTCAGAATCCTGTGGACCGATTTCGTTCATTTTTTGCATGTGCCTAGTATCTTATGTGGGACATATGCACATGCAGTGGTTTAGAGATTCGATTCAAAATGGCTGACTGGCAGCCATCTTGTTTTTTGTAAAATGTTGTATTTTGGACATGCTTTGTCAGTTGTCATTCAAACTTGGTAAATAGATTATTCATGTTAGGATACATGTCCATGACAATTTATTTCGCAATTGGATCAAAGATTTTATGCAGTATCTTGTCAGTTTTCATTCAAATTTGGTACATACATGATGTACTTTATACATGTTAGGATGCATGTCCATGACAATTTGTTTCAAATTCTAGTCAAGGATGGCCGATTGACAGCCATCTGACTTTTTGTTCGTACTACTATATTTCCACAATTTATGTACCATTTTCATTCGAATTTGGCACATACATCATATACATATCAGTGTGTTTCATAATCAGATCAAAGATGGTCGAATAATGGCCGTTTTTATTTATATTACTATTACACGGAACACTGGTTTTGATGTAAATAAACAATCTGTTGTATACGCCACTTGGAACTCAAGTTTCAAGGACACTCTCGCGACAACCCCTCCGCTTTAATATGACGAGCACAAAGAGAACTTTCAAACATTTAACGGGGACTATGTCATTTTCAATGACTTGTTTCAGTTTGTATTCTTTTATTCATAGATGAAGTTCAATGTTTTTACTAATTATATCTTATAGGTCTGTCAATGGTGTGTACAGAATTGGTTTGTTTGCTCTTAAAGACATTCAGCCAGGAAGTGAACTGACTTATGACTATAATTTCCATGCATTTAATTTGGAAACTCAGGTACCAATCTTTTATCTACACTTTCATTTCTTCATAAAACGACTTTTGTTTTTATTGTTTAAGCTTAAGGTAGATATGCAGGTTTGTGGGCACTTGGGAGTGAATTTTTTTTTTTTTGCTTTTTATTATCCAAACAGTCTTGGCTATAGACTGTTAAAATTTTGTAGAATTGTGAATAGTGGAACATACTCATAAAAAGATTTTATAATATAGATAACAGTGCAAACGTTCCCTCTTTGAATGCTTAGCAGATTTAGCAGGCTGTACATAATAATAAAAAAGAAACATGG